ATATATATAAAGTAAGATTAAGGAATGAATCCATTATTTATAACTTATACTGCACAGGGTAAGTAAATTAATTTTACTAGACGATTGTTAAAATCTTTGCAAAACCTGTATTTATTACAAATTTTTAATGCATTTATTGCATTTTAATGTTACATTTACTTAACAAAAGTAGATAAACAGACAAATGAATTAATCAATGCTTTAATTGAATTATTATCAATTTAAATATTTCATTTCTGGTTATTTCGTGGTGACTTTTCAGAGCAAACATTTTATTCTTGTGGATAATATAAAGGCAAAAAAAAAAATAACATAAGAGAAGTAATTTTTTAGTGTACATATTTCTGCTAATTATACCATCTCATTTCACAGGAAATTGGACAAATATTAGATTTGTGCAAAATGAAAATGTGCAAATATTTACATCTATGTATAGTAGACATAGATGTAAATAAAAAATATTGTATTTATGATTATTTTAAGGTGTCTGTGCTTAATGCTATAGTTTTAGCTGAATTTTTTAAAGTCTGCTTCTCTCACTAATTTACTGAGGGTTTATGGGATCTAGCATTCAAATACATATTTTAAATAAAAAGTTGAAACGCAAAAGGAGACCTCTGTGAGAACATAGTTTAATTGGATATTATTGTGTCTTTGCTTTTCCTATTTAGTAAAATGATACTAGGTTCATAATTCTTCACTGATTTCAAAGAAATTATGCATTTCAGCATTTCAACTTTTATTGCATTTGAGGTAGACTGTTATTTTCTCTGGCACACAGCTAATATTCGTTGCAGTACAGGGCAGCAGAAGTCTCTGATGGGGAAGCAGTTATACAGTCTAAGTTGTTTGACTTCAGTACAAGAGCAGGCATACTCCCATATTTTACCACAAACACTTGATGATGGGATTACATCATGCTGCACTTCTTAACCTCATCGTCTCTGACTTTAGTTTGTCCCACATAGTTTTTTTTCTATCATTTCTATTAAATGTCCTCCTTTTTTTTTGTTTTTCAGAACTGCTTGAGTGCAGTGAATATCAACTGGACATTTGCATGACTCAGGGTCATTGCAGATGTCCGTACTGCTCAACAGCTCTAGACATAAGCAGTCATTCCTCACCAAACTAGTCTGTGTGTGTGCCTATACGTAAGTGTAAACACAAATTTCTTCATCTCCTGGGATTCCCTAACAACAAGAGAGAACTCTCTGTCCTCTCTTAAGAAGACATTTTTAGTGTTTCTTTTTTTTTCTTGCTGGCAACACTTCCATGTTTTTTTTCCAGAGTAATAAAATCACCTCTAATTGTTTCCTGTCTTCTTAAACTATTCAATCTGCACTTAGCAGAACTCAAATATCAGCTGCAACATTCTGCATGGGTTTTGTGGATAAAGCCATAGTGCTAACATAAACATAACCATGTCCAGCATATATAAATACCTGATCACTAATTTATAAAACCTGGGATGTGCAAATGGAAATGTTAGCATGTGCATGTCTATCTTTCCAGCTTATATCATTATGCTTAGCTAACTAGGTCTTGTTGGAAAACCTTCTCACCCTGGCAGATAAAGGGCAGCTGGAATCTCTGAAAACTCTCAAGGCCTTAGGTAGGGAAGTCATTTAAGAGAAATAAGACTTTAAAATGTGAAGACTGAGCTTAAAAAATACATTTAATTTATATTTTAATAACATCTATGCAGGGCTTTTTTTTTTCTTACTGTGTTACTTTGCCTTGCACTTTATTCATCTGTTCTGAACCATCAGGTTAATCCCATGCATTTCACCAAAATGAAATGCATGGGATTAAGTTGGTTATTTTAATTCCAAATTATTAATCAAAATTTAAATTTCCGGTCAAGAGCTCTCCAACTGAAATGGTATTTATATTATCCAATTTAGGCTTCAGCTACCAGATCTTTTCATTTGATTTGTTCACATATTGGTGCCTAAAGCTCATTCTTCAAATATTCTGGAAATAATAACATTAATTAGTTGCACATGAGATTATAAAAAAGTGACTTTTCTGGTGTTAAAATCAATCCATCAGTCTTGGTTCTCTCTGACAAACGTCGATCTGGAGTTTGGGATTTTCTGAGAAAGCAATGCTTTACTTCTTTTAGATCTCCATGAAAAGCAGAAGACTCGCTTCCATAATCCTCTACCAGTGGTTATGAGAAGCTCTTGCAATTCCGTGGGAGAATTTGGAGTTTCTTTAGTGTGACAGGACTCTTGGGCATGATGACAGTTGGCTTAACATCCTCAGTTTCCAAACCATGAAAATGCTGATTTCTTCTGAGACCTCTTTAAATCCCTCGTTGAACTCATAAACTAGTTTTTTTCTTGGAAAGTTTTTCAGTATCACCATGGTGTTGAATGCTTAACAACACAACTTTGTCATTTACCAGAACAATCTCACATGAGCCTGAACATAATTATTTTTTTGGTGTTTGAGATCCAAGCAGAGAAAAACCTTTTCCTGATTTCTTTACAGTTTTTAATCCACTTAATGTATCTTCATGGTTTCTGTCTTTGGTTCCAAACTGTTTATTACCTGCAGTAAAAACCAGTCAGGTCATGTTTGTTTTATGATGCTTTATTTCCGTCTCTTTTAAATTTCTGTCCTTTTCTTTCTCAGACAAGCAAAGCAAATGATCACCCAAAGTTTGGCCCAGGTATATAACATCTATCAAGTTTATGTAATCTAAAATTGTAAAATAACAAGCACCTAACTGATACTATGGATCAATCTTTAAAGACATTTAAGAAATATCACTTACATGTTTTGCTTCAGAAAAGATGTTACTGTTAACTTATTGTAACACATTTATTTATATTCCAACAAAGTAACATTTAGCTTTTAACTGTGTTGACCCACAGACATGCACTTTGACCTTTAGACACCCTCAAAGGATCCTGCTCCCTGGAGCTGCAGAGTGAGGGGCATCTTCACCAGCGGAGACTGGATAACCACCAAAGCCATGAACTCTTTGTCTTGGCTGAAACAAACACACAGGCAGCTAGATGACAAACACGGATATTATGTGTTTCTTTAATGCTAATGATCCTTGTTTTTAACATATGTGTATTTCCAGAGTTGTCTGCTACCTTGGAGTGAAGCTAATCTCCAGACACTGGCTCCAGGAGCTTCTCACGTCGTTTTTGGATTGAAGAAACCCAGAGTTCGGTGTCAACTCAAACACATGAGGGTCATCTGACTCTAAACCCGATGAGAGATTCAGTTAGGGCTCATATGCTTCTTAAGTGCTTAAAAGTGCTTAAAAGTGCTTAAAAGTGCTTAAAAGCACATATATGTGCTCTTACTTATAATGGATTTCCAGGAGGTGTTTGCTCCATGGCAGTAGAGGTTTATCATTTTGGTCTGTATTTGTCCAACACAACAAATCCCGAAGTTTAGGAGGTCAGTGGAGACACTAAGAGTAGGTAGATCCAGGTGGGCACACAGAGGGACCTTCTGTTTAAGGGAAATGCATAGGTTAAGCTAAAAAATATCAAAGAATGAAGCTTAGCTCTGAGGGTGCCTCTGACCTGCAGAGTGTTGTTACTATGTTGGATAAGGAGGTTTTCCAGGAATCTCAGCTTCTGACCACTTTCATTGTGAATCAGCTTCACTCCAAGAGAAGGGTCTTCATCTGTCTGCTTTGAAAGGTCCAGCAGTGGCAGAGAACAATGAAAGGCCACCTTCACCTGGCATGACAGAAGTAGGAACGATTACTGGGGGGAAAAAAGGGACAGCCTCATAAAAGAGTCTGAGCTACTCCTCATCTCACCTTCATGCTCAGTTGAGGATGAAGCACCGACTGCTGAATGTGAAGAGCAGGAGGAGTGAGAACTTCGGAAGGTGTCAGAACTGAAAATGGAGGCCGTGTCTCCAGTTGGAAACATAAAGGCATCTCTGTGGTGTTTCTCAGCTGAAAGCTCTTCGTAACACTAAATTCACCGACCACAACCTAGATCAGCAGTAGACATAGAAACAGTTAACTGCCTAAAAATCAGCACATTGTGTATGTGGTGAGGATTCCAAACCTCCTTATCTGATTCAGTCATCAGTAAATCACCGGCAGAGGCATTAAAGTGCAGCACCCCGCCGTCCTCCTTCATCTGCACCATCAGCCTGCAAGCAAAGAGAGTCTGAGAAGATTTGTAGCCTCAATAGGCCACCTCTGGGCTCCTTTTCCCCCTAACATCAGCTTATTTTAATTTAGGAAACATAAATTGAGACATGCATGAAAGATCTGCAGGACATAAATAGTATGAAGGTGAATGCTTACATCGGCCGAATGGTTGCTTGTAGATCCAATCTGAAAGGCTGTAAATCCAAACCCTGCTTCCTTCTGACTTTACCTGGGATGCAAACTGCCTTCTGTAGCAAACAGAGAAACACAAGTTTCCAAAGTACAGTTTTTTTTATGATTTTAGTATCGAAGTGTTTTTTTTTCTTAAACCAGGCATGTCACCTCAGAGTTTAGGCTCATGAAACCGAACGCCACCCCAACACATCTGGACTCAAATGCAGACTCTGAGAGATTCAAAGGAGTGAAAGACACATGGATGCTTTCCCTTCCCTTCGCTGGAATCACCTTAAGTTTCATACATTAAAGAAGAGCCTTGTTAATAGTTGAGAAAAACGCAATTTTAAGGAGTAAATGCAAAAAAGAAAAATACTCTACAGTTTGTTTTGGTGTAATGCAGTATGGGGAATCTGCAGGATGGAGACAGTGTCCTTCCTCTTCTTCAGTTGCAAACTCCCTCTCTTTCTCACCCTGATGCATTGATAGAGACACCACATTTCCGTACACTCCTGACCAAGAGGCATTCTTGGTTTGATATACTCACAGTAACACTTTGAAGAGACAAGCGTGTTCCCTCATATGCAGGGTTATGATTCTTCTTAGAGTCTGTGGGAACATTTTCGTTGAATTCCCCAAATGCTCCATCCAGCTCATTACCGTCGGCGTCCTTTAGAGGGATGCAGTCTTGATGAGTCACCACAACATCTACTGGTTTATGGTTGTTCTCCTCGATATTATAAGTCTCCCAGTTCATGAGAATATCTAACGAAACACAAATCATAGGTCAGGGTGAGCGTTTTTAGGAGCTCTGCATATTTAGTTATTTTCTAGAAGAAGCTGAATACTTTTTGTGACTCCAATTTCAAATTTCCAAGAATGGATAAACAGCCTTTAGAGGTTCCAATGGCGTAACTATCGGTAAGCAGCTGCTTAGGGGCCCCCGAACTCTTAGGGGCCCCTTCACTGACAACTGGTTGGCCCCCTAAGCAATTGTGGACTAGGACGTCTCTTTGCAGATGTAATGGTGCAAAAAATTCCTCTCAAACCCACCTGACACCAGATTGACTGACCGGCCCCTATTCATATCCACATGGCAGATTTCAACATGATGGTGAGCCGTTTTAAACACGACAGCAAAGCAGACAGTGGTACTTTGAATTACTATGTTAATAACTGTGTATAGTTCATTAGACAAGTATTATTTTTTACACCACGACTTGGAATTATGGGTAACACAGAGCTTAGATTAAATCCATAACCGTTACGTATGATGTGTTAGCGACGATTGATACCAAAAAGAGGTACATAAGCTGATTCCAGGAAAGAAAAAGGAAAGAAGAGCTGCTGGAAGAACGGAAAAAACGTCCTAAAATAAAAACGTTCTTTCAAAGAATCAAAGACGGAGAGGAGGACGTTGCTGCTACAGTGAGTAAAGATTGCGACCCGGGGATGAATGGAGAGAGTGTGGGTGAGGAGGGGGGCTGTGAAGCTGAAGGTAGCCTGATAAGACTCATTTTACAACAGAATATACTAAAGTATATCCATATCAAGTGTGGGTGAAGAATGTATATGTAATGGTGTATGTGTGGGGCACATTTTGGGTCGGTTGTCTACGGGGGGGTGGGGGTGGGCATCTATATGCAGCATGTTGTTTGGGAGAAAACTAACACTTAATATAAATCTGAACACATCTTCTACTCAGAGAAACATGGAGGTTGCACTAACACTGTACAAATGTATTTTGTTCATCAAAAACAGGGAATCTAAAGAATACCTGCTAGAAGAGTCAAAATACTGTAATAATATGTTGGTTTACAATCCACCAGGACAGCAGCCCTAAGAATTCAGCCAGAGCTACAATAGAGACGCTTTAGACCGAAGCATGTCCATTTGTTAGAACGGCCCAAAGACCAGAACTAGATCAGAATGAAATAGAGTATTTTAGTATTTTACATTTTTTGGAAAATAATCCTTAACATTTCTTCTCTTTAACTGTTATGGACAAATTTGTTGTGGTCAATAACATAAAATTCCAATAAAAGACCTTGATATTCACAGTTATAATGTTATAAAATTAGTTTAGGGAGTATGATGAGTTTTTCTCGAACTGCAATGAATAAAAAAAATCATACATTTTCTTGACAGGAGGTAAACATTTAAGTTCTAAACCAATTTGCCAACAACCACTTACCAAACATGGACGGATTATTGATGCGGAGAAGTTTAGAAACCTTGTCTCCTCCTGACTGGTGGGTGCCAAAGCTTTTCAAACATGAAGCAGAATATTCAATCATTAACAGGATTACAAACAGGGGTCATCTTAACCTAAGGATGTGTAACAGACTATATGATTGGTCCCTGATGCTGGTCATCTGGTCGGGGACCAGTCATTTGGAAGTAGAGTGGGCAGCCCTTCACAGTCATCTTAATGGAAATAGGCATTGGCTCAAGGTCTCCGACCTGCAGACAAGATTAGATCTAAGTCATTTTATACAAGAGCGAGTTAATCATCTGATCCTTAGCCACACCTTGCATATGAGCTGATCTCTGTATTCCCCCCACATGTCGCTGTAGGCTGTCACATCCACTGTCTTGGTTTCAAACGGTCCCAGCTGCCCTGAATCTGGTGACACCAGGAAGGCTGCCCCTTTTCCATGAGCCAGAAGGCCGCTCACAAACTCTGGTCATAGAAAAACAACCTTAGATTTGTTTCCAAATTCTAGGCATTTAAGAAAACATATAAATATGACACCTTCATTTGCTTTCGCTTCTACTTTTTTCAGTTTAGCAAAGTGAAGGGGAGTCTTTGCATGTGTGGGTCTGTAAAAAAGATGAAAGCTCTGTTACAGTTCAGTTCAGTTATGACAAGCCTAACTCAGTTAGAGCAGACTTTTTGACCTTTTCTCTAACGAGCTGTTTGCCGCTGAGATATTGCAGTTGAAGAACTCTGGCTTTATGGTGAAATCTGCAGGGATGATGCTTTCATTCTTTATCAGGAGTTGTTTAGTCACTGCTTTCCTCAAATGGACGTCTTCTCCAAAGTCAAGCATAAGCACAGAATGACTTTCATCATTTCCTCTGTGACTAAAAGTGAAAAAAAATATATTTATTAGTACATGAAAATGCAAAAAGTGTACACTTTTGGAGATTTCTTGATCCAAAGTGGTAACCTGATGCCAGGCAGTGAGTAGGAAACAGAAAGTTTCCTGGGTTGGGATGTCATAATTCCAAGAACAAGTGGAAAGTTCATCCCTTGAACCTCACAGAGAGCAGCCACGTCAGCCAGCTCCAACTAGAAAGATACAACAAATGAAGGTAGGCTTGCCACAAATGAAAAAAAATTATCATCTAATTAAACGATTACCGGCAATGCTTACATTGGTGTGAGATGTGAAACTGACAGTGATCTCCATGGTGGCACTGGGTCCCAAAGTACCAGAGGAGGGCTCAAAGCTGGCTGTACAAAGCGCAGCCTGTTTACCCTGAAGCTGTGGCTGTCAGGGGAAAGTCAGGGTGTCCCAATCAACAGAGTCCTGATCAAGGTATTTTTATAGCTGACTAAATTTAACTGTTGATCTCTGTTGTGGGAATACTCTATGATTTCATCAGTCATACCCTAAGTAAACAAGAGATTTTAAAGACCCATCAAAAGACAAAAAAAAAAAAAGAAAGAAGAAATCTGTAAGGAGGAAACTCTTTTCATAAGGCTGTCCCTTTCATAAATTCCCTCTGGGACAAACACCGGTCACCATCCACACTGCAAAAAACATCTAGAAATAAGTAAAAAATTTGTTAAATTAAGTGTATTCACCCTTAATTTGAGCAGGTAAATAAGATTATCTACCAATGGAATTTGTATTTTTACTCCTAAACTAGGATAATTAGATCATATACGCTTGAAATAAGACAAAGCAATAGTTTAAGTAAATTGTCTTGCTCCATTGACAAAGTGTCTCACTTACCTCCTCAATTCAAGAAAAAATGCACTTAATTTGAGCAAAAATTTTTTGCAGTGCAGGAAACATGTCTGACTCAGACATTCCATGTTTTTCATGAACTAAGAGCGTAAATATCCAAAAGAAACCTTTAGAGATTATGAATGACAGTCATGCACGTTATTGACACTGTGGGATTCAGTGGGCTGATCAAGAGGCATTTAATAGCAGCCGGACATACCTTCCAGTTAAACTGTGATGGCAGCAGAGTCTGGTTGAAAAGTGTTATGTTACCATTTGTGGGAACTCCAATGTAAAGATCAGAAAAGAGCAGCTTGTGGTTTAAAAGGCACACCTGAGGGGACTGCACATCTGCTCTGATGCACAAGTGACTGTTAGGAACATATTGGGAGAGAAACAGTCTGTGAACAAATTTGCAGAAGCTGGAAACTGAAAACTACCATTCATATTTTGTCAGAGCTGACATGACAACAGCTGCAGAGAAAAAGAAAGATTGATTTTTAAGTAGACAAACCAGCTATCTAACTATAATGGTCCTCAAACAGCTCATGTTTGGAGGAGCACTTCCAGGCTTATGAGACAGAAAATGCTGAGAACATGTAAAAAAAATTCAGAAACTTTTCACTTTTATCATGTTGCAGAATTCATCAAAATACAAAATTCGATTAAAGGAAAAAACAAACAAAAAAATAGAATTGTGCACGTTTGTAAATTAACATTTTGAATTGGTCTTCTAGACGTTTTACCAGTAATAAGGTACAGTAGATTTGAAATAAAGCTCAAAGGTCCTAATAATATTTTCCTATGAGTTTTGGCAAATTAGATGTTCTTACCAATTTAGCTGTAAATCTGAAGATAAAGAAGGACTTCAATTATCAGCTTCATAGCAAGTGCAAATCAACTAAAAAATGGCTTGATCAGACAAAAATAGAAAATTTGGAGGACTTTAACCAAAATCTGGAACGAAAAAATCCACCATAGTTTTATTAATATCATTAAGCCAAAACATGGCTACTGAAAGTTTCCTGCTAGAGATCAGAAATTTGAAATTAAATCCAAAGATGTAAAAGTTAATAGCATTTCATTCCACTTATTTATCTACGTATTCATTTTTTTTATTTTGAATTATTTGCTTTAGGATTATAGGATACAACCTTAAAGGGAAAAAAGTTTGCAAATGTATATTTGCCTCAACTTTATATCTTATTTGTATAGGTGATGGTTAGACCTCTGTACTTACAACCCAGTTCCAGCTTCCACCGTCAGCTCCACCTCTGAATCAAACATTTGGCAGATACCTGAGCTGAAGGACAGCTCCACACTACAAGAAGCAAAAGGAGGCAGCACCCCACAACACGGCTCCATCAAGACCTGAGCATAAATACAGACATTGATTTAATTAAAAATAAAACACTGTCTTCTTTAATATTTATATGCCTGACTTTTCAGCTTTGTTACTGCAAAATACCTGAGTCCCTCTGTGCGTCGACTCATCGGTAACCTTTTCCCTAAGCGTCCAGCTGGCCTCTACAGGGGTAGTATTGGTGAGTATGAGTGTGGTCTGAGCTGACTCCCCGAGCCTCACAAGACCAAAGTCCACCCAGGGAACATTGGTCGTCACTGCAGGACCCTATTTAAGATTAAATCATTTTAAAACAACATATTATAATGGTGGAGCACTAATCTAGATGTTGTTGAATCTTACCTTAAATGAAACCTCTACAGGTAACTTGAGAGGTTCAGGTTGATGCGGTATGTTGCAAACCAAGCTGGTTTCAACCTTGCCTGGTTTCCCTCCAGTAATGACCAGAGCGAAATCAAAACACTCATTCTCTTCTGAAAGGACGAAAGAAAGACAAAAACAAAGAAAGATAGAAAGAAAAACAAAATGCCAATTTGTGTCCTTTAGAGTGAAGTGTCTTTATAATATGCAGTGCACCTATTCTCCCAGCAGATGGCTCTACTTTAACAACATGGCCACCGCTGTTAAACGTCTGCCATTGAAACACTATGAAAGTTTTGCTGTGATTCCAAATCTGAAACACAAAAAGCATCAAATAAATAGAAACCAAACCTGCTTTTTAAAAACTGAATTAAAAAGTACATTTGTTAATTACTCTCTTTATCAACCTTAAACTGCTTGCGAATGGTGGTGTAAATAAAATTTTCTCCAGGGACTAAGATGGCACTGGGCTCCAGAAGGATGCAGTATGGCTCTGTTGACCCTTTGACCTCTATCTCCATAATGGTCACATTGCTCATCTTGGAGCCAGTCTGCACAGGAAGGACACTGTTTCCCACAAAAAAGACATAATTAGGTGGAAAAAAACTGAATAAAGAACATTACTAATGTATGTATTTTGGGATTCTATTAATTTATCAAAACATTCCTTCACCTGTTTGACTCTTGTTGAAACAAGGGTACCGGTACATCCCCCAGGACCAAGTGAAAGACACTGTGATAATCCTTCAACTTGGAAAAGTACAAACATTGTTTTAAAATAAAGCGTTTATCCATCTGGTTCTCTCTGTAATCCATTTGGTTGCATACCTCTTTTGGACTGAAGGTTAGGAGAAACTCTTGGACTTGACAGGGACTTAGGAGGCCTGTTGCAGGGCTCATGTGGAAAACGTCATCCTTGTCAGGAGGGAGGTGGACACGGGATGGCTCAAGAATTTCCCCAGGAAGAACAGGATGTAGGTTATGTTTCAAGATTTGCCAGTGGAAAGACAGCTCCAAGTGACTTTGACAAAATGAGAGAAGGTCACATAGTTTTTTTTTCAATTGAGCTTCAATGACATTATTTACTCAACTCCAACTAGGAAGAACAGAGCACTAGAAAGTGCCACAAAGCCACAAAGACACATATCTGTAAATCTTATAAGTGTTGTTTGGACAAGAGTAGAGCTTTCTAGTGGTCTGTCAGATTCTATCTACAAGTATTAACAGGCTTTTTAAATGCGTTATTCATTCATGCTACAACATTAAGTCCATTAAGTCCAGCTTGCATTTATATTCAGCCACATTTGCTCTCGAAAGTTAAATGACTTGTCAGCAATTAGATCTTTGTTGATCAGACAGAGAAGTGTATATAAAATCTTTTGAAAAGAAAAAAGGAAAAAAGCACTGCCTCAAACCAACCAAGACAGGCCCACTGACCTAAACAGACAGATCAAGCATGGAGATTATCAAAAGATGGCTCTCTGTAGGGGGAGCAAAGACCCACAGTACAGAACTCCTCATATCTGAAGAAATCTGAGTGTTCAAAGGCAGTGAAGCCCTGTTAGAAGTGAAAACAATGATCCACAAGTATCCACAAGTATCCCTATGATATGGTATGGTGGTGGCAGCATTATACTGTGGATATTTTTTTTTCTTTAGAAGGAACTGTAGTAAAGTTAGACAACTACTATTTATTGGACCAAGTTTAACCTATCAGACTAAGCAAAATGCTTGTGGAAATAGATGTAGAATCAGTAAAAGGTGGCCATAAAAAGTTCTGAGTCTGTTTTTTAGTCATTAGCTTCTGACAGCTCTACTAGAACCAATCAATGAGAAAGACAAACAACTGGTGGTTAATTGCCTTGCCCAAAGACACAGGAAGCAGTAGAAAGCTTGATTAAACTGGCAACTTTCAGATTGCATGGCAACCTCCCCTTCTAACTGGGACCCCCCCAAAGCTAGAAGGTTGAGTGTTAATCCACCTATAAGTCTTAAGGTTGGTTTTTTAGAATGATTACCTCCACTTCAACATAGCACATTGCCTATAATAAAATATAAATACTTTAGGACTACAGTACAGTATTTTTAATTTTTTTTGTTGTACACTGAGAGGTAGTTAAGTCAGGCTTACGCATTGTTCCTGAGGACAAGTCTCTTCTGTTGGACAGAGTGAGGGTTGCATGTGGGGAAATGAACAGAGTTCTCTCCAGTGATGTTGTGCGCCTCTCCATCCTTGAAGGGCTTGTTTTCTTCAAATACAGACACAAGTTCTTTTCCAAGCATTTGGCCCTCACCTAAGAAACCCAAACACGTTATAGGACCTAAGAAAAAAGAATACACCTGGGGTCTAATTTGTCAAGTCAGCGTGTGGGACTTGCAACATGCCAACTCCAAACCTTTACATAGACTCAAAGTGGAAATGGCAGCAGAGACGGTGCGATGGATAACTGAAGCCAGATTAAGTCCTGATAGATTTTCAACATTACTTTCTATTAAACATTAATCAAAGTAAAGTAAAAGTAAAACAAAGTCATAAGAAGTAATCAAAAGCACCATAAATATACATGAGGATTGTTGAAATAAATAAAACAAGGATTATCAGTAGTGATGGATGATGCTCGGTTGGAGAAAGTTGAACATTACAGTTTCCTGACCCATAATAACGGCTGGTTTATTAGCCAATCAGATGCCCTAAAGAATTGTTATTGGGTCTATATGCTGAACGGGGCTCAGTGTTGAAGAGTAGCTTTTTGCATGGTACTAAAGAAAATAACTAAATATAAGAGTTGCTTGAAAGTTGCAGAGAAATGGACACGGCTTCATTGCACAGTTCATTAAAGATCCAAGATAACCCATCATCTATAGAGAGATTACGAACCCTCTAAGTTAAATAAGCGGATATAGTCAAACATTATTTGCCATTAGTACGATAAAGATACCTTAGTGGGTAGCTGATTTATTTTTTGTTATTGTAGTTTTCTATTTTATTAATTAATTACAGCTTTTAATCATTCTGTATTTCCTGTCTGATCATTTTTTAATCATTCAGATTTCCCCACCTATATATAGACTTCTTCCTTTTATTAGTCACACCAGTAGTGTCAATATCAAATTTATTTATCATACTCTCGGTATGGTAAATCTAAAATATCTTTTGCACAGCCAAATCTTTAGTTCCCACACAATATTTGATCAATTAGACCCCAGGGGAGAAAAGTCCTTGTTTGTCTTTCTTTGAAAACTCACCCTCAACAGATATGTTTTTCACCTGGCAGTTGTTACAGACCATGGTGAACAGCTGACCACACCTCCCCTGAGTGGTTGGAAAGAAAACAACCTGCAACCCATGCAAAAAAGGTCATGTAAAACAAAAGGTGCCCCTTTGCATTCAGGTTCTGATATATGCTGTTTATGCAATTATCGAAAACAAGTAAGTTTACTAAAGTCTCTTTATATTTCAAATACAGAGCAAGCGCACGGTGGGTTGTCCCCAAATACAAAGCAGGCAAACTTAAAACATGGTAAACAAACTGCTCTTATTTTAATGTACAAATTCAGAGAGAAATGCTACCTCCAACCGTGTGGTTTCTCCCGGCTGCAGGGTAAACAAAGAGGGGCCCACTGCAAAGGGGGGCTGCTCAGAATAATATGTTGTTGCCAGGGACTAAAAAAGAAAAAAAAATATGTTACATTCATTTACCCATATTAATAAAATCGAGAAAAAAAACAACCTTTAATAAGATAATTATTTATTGTAGCAACAGAAATAAATCTATCCTTAATTTGAGTAGTGAAGAGAGGAAACCCAGATTATCTAATATTGCTTTTGTTTCCACATTTTTTTACACCCTCAGCAAATTCAATGAAATAAATCTAACTGAGCTTTCTTTAATTAAAAATCTCAATCAAGTGAGCATGTTTTAATCAATAATCAAGTCCTTCCATGTTTTAATGGGGAGTAATCATCGTGTGGTCTAATAAACATGTACATTTTTTAAACAATTATCTAAAATGGAAAAGGCAGGAGTAACTCTAATCCGAATTAGGCAGATTTATCAGTGAGTCCTGAGGAGAATTTCTATCTCTGTTGTCGTATCAGACGTGTTCTCTAATTTGGAAGCAGGACCTTACAGTGCTTACAGTTTTCTACCTTCTGCTACTTAAAACCTGAATGATGTCTCCAAATACATGCATGGAAACATACGCCTGGAAAGGTCATTTAGGGACAAGCTGTGTCCCAAAGGCACAGAGAACAACTACTGTAGCTGCCAAAGCTGGAGAATTACCACTGTTCCCAACAAAACTAACCAGTAAGTTAAACAGATTAGCTTTTACAAAGATTTGGCTTTATTTTTTTATACTTGAATGTTGCAGCTCACTTTATTGCATTTGTACATTTAAAAGTTATGCTTACTTTTAGCTTATATAGTTTTTTTTTTACTCCTATCACTGCTGATATAGTGGAAATTTCACCACTAAAAGACTAAATATGGGGTCCTAAGGCTGTAACCCAGCGAGCAAAATTGGTTGAAAAGACAATAAAAAAAACCCACATGGTTTATATCCAAATGACCTTTAGCTGAAAAGTGAAGTAAAAAGCTGCAATATTGAGATTGTTGAAAAGACATTGTAAATTGGGTTTTCAACTTTTTTTCAGCATGTATTATTGGTTTTAAGTGGGAAAAATCAGACCGACCAAACACAGCCCTATTTTCAACAACTACCGGTATTTCTGTACTAAATAAAGACTGATTATGATGGACCAGATTTAGCCTAAAAGACCAACTTCTAAATGAAATCTGGTTTCTGGGGAGCAAAGACAAAACTAAAACCCACACCTCACAGAAAAGTTTTATTTCACCTTTTGATAATTTAACTACAAGTAAACCACAACAACAAAAAAATAAGAGTAAATAGTTTCAGTTATACAAATTTTACCCTGAGGTTTGAGGCTGGCCATTGGTCCTTGGCAATGATGCAAAAATCCCCAGGACTGAGTCCAACATTTTGGCAGCGGAGCTCAACAATTTTTACCCCTCCAACCAGACAGTGTCCGCAGTCCACAACTCTGGGCACTGCAAAACAGATAGGATACGGTGTTTGCAAGCTTTGGTAGTTGAAATAACCTTGGATGAGTATAGTGATGCTTACAGGTGAGTACAGGAGGAGGCCTATGTGCCTTGATTGGCACTTTTAAAGGCTGCTCAGAATCAGTTTCCACCATTATAAAATCCTCATAGTCCCCCAAGGAGTCTGGAGTAAAGCGCAGTGTATATTTACAGCTCAACCCTGGAGCAATGATGCCTCCATCACTGGGGAATCTTCCTGCAAACACACGCTCTGTACTTAAATAACAGTTTATTCAGTTGGGAGCAACTGAAGCTTGAAATCATTTGGTATTTATAACAGAGGTATATGGCTAGATTAACTCACAGTCCAGCTTCTATACCAAAGTGGAGAGCTAACAGATATGAACATCATTTTAGGACTAGATGTTGCCCAACTGCAACCTTAAAGTGACTCACCCCCGTTGATAGAGAAGTATGAAGTGGTAGGAGGGATGACTCTGACATGGCGGCTTGTGGAAGTCACGTTTTGCAGCTTCAGAGTAGACTGATGCAGAATGGGAATATGTTACTCATCATTACATTTTCTTCTAGATTCTGACTGGTCTTAGTCACCTCAACATACCTCATAGACCTGTCCAAGGCTGTATTCAGTAAAAGAAATCACTGATGGCTTTGCCTGGAAAACTGGGGCAGGCGCATCGCCGGAGCTTTGAGAAGGTATAAAAAAGAAGAGCAAAAGCAGAATTAAACAGCAAATTTTTACCCCAGATACGAAGTTAGAGTTTATCGTTAGATATTTACTAATCAGAACTTTTTGACCTGCTGATAAGGATCTTTGTCAACACTAAATACTGAACTCTTAACATAAGAAGAAACAAAAAGACAGCCTTTACATCCAGAATGAGCATCTCAAATAGTTTTGAGTTTAATTACATTTGTCAATTTTAGAGCATTTGTGCTGCGACAATTAATGGCTGAAAAGCTTTGGATGTAAAACCATGCTTAATTAGTCTTCTTGTTATCTTATCTGTACAGAATAATATATAATGTAATAGAAAAGTCAGTTAAATAAATTATTACGGCTGAAACAATGAATCTTATTAATCATGCTTAATCGATTATTGAAATTATCGTCAACTAATTTAGTAATTCAGTAATCATTAAGCAGGGTATAGAGACTGTAAAACCTGCCTTTATCTGAGAGAGCAACCCACTTAGAGCATTTATTATACCAAAATTGTAAAAACTATACAAAAACATTTTGCATATAAGATTAAAAAAAAAAATAGATTTCGTCTGTCAATATGCTCTATCCAGAACTTCTCAAGTGGAAAACTTTTAGATTCAACTGCCGGTAGTTTAATTTAGTAAAAAATTTACTTTAGGGAATGTTTTGCTACCCGATTATTAATTGATAAATCAAAAAAAGAATTGACAGATTAATCAATTTGCAAAAAGATAGCTAGTTGCAGCTTTATAAATAATCATTAGTTCTTTGGTTCCTGGGTGTGCTCTGAAAATCAGTTTATGTTCTCAGTACTTTTATTATCAAGGGATAAATATGTTTAAATATTTGCTAATAATTGCCACCAAAGTAAGATTTAAATTATATTTTTCTTAACAGGCAGATAAAATATTCCTAGATTAAAGGTAACATATTTTCCCACCAAAAACATCAAACACAGAATTCTTCCCTTTTTGAAAATCTCACATCTGCAGCCTGAACAAAATAAAAACACAGCTTCCTTGTGATCAAAACATTCTAGGTTTTTCCATGAAGCTTGTATCCTCTCCTCATGCATGCATAGGTTCTGTGTGGACTCTGTCCTTCTCCCACAGTCCGGAAAGATCCTCCTAAATTGCCCTTAAAACTGTGAAAGTGTCTAAGCAAGGGTATTTGCCCTGTGTGCCTCCATCTGTCCATCTGTCTTAGATGCTTTGACCTTTTGTCCATCTACCACTAGAGATAGCCAGGAGCACTCTACTCTGCATTGATAAGCATAGTTTGTAGAGATGAGTGTAAAGAAACTGTACACTTGATGAATATAATGTTGCTGCCGAATGGATTGGAAGTGGTAAAAGAGATGGATGATGATATGAAACCCAGTGTGGTTTTTACCCCCTCTATGCTTCAGACTCTGTGGTCACTTTGTAGAGCATAAGGTTTCAGCTTACATACACCTGTTGAGGTACAGTGGCTGTTCAACTGTTTACTCTGAGCTAAAAGGACACGCATGTTTCATGTCAATATTGATCAGGGGCTTCCATAGTTCACTGTAATAAATTGTTTGCCAAATGTTGTGCACCTGAGTAAAATGTAAAATCTAGATTTCTTTTCAATGTGAACTTTTTCTAATACCTTTGAATCTCTGAGCTTCTCCCATCATGTTCCTTCTTTGCTTTGGCTTTGGGTGAGATATGCAATGTTCCTCTCTGCTGTGCATTGGAGGGATTTCTCAAAAAACTTTTTTGTTTAAAACTCTGAAGTTTCTCCCAGTCCTCTGCCTGGTCCTTGGCACTAGACTGTCCCATCCACTTTGGCCTGGGTTTGGTCTGTTAGGAACAAATCAAACATATTGTGCCTTAAGCTTCTTTTTGACATTTTGTCAAATTAAAACCATGGAATAGTTTAAAGATATACTCATGGGAAAAAAGTATTCAACTGTTCCCCCTAGTTAAACAAACGGAGATTGATGGATTTCACTAAGTCGGCACATTTATTCATAGAGAACAGTTCATCATACAGCCCTTATGGCACAGCATTCTGCCCTGTTCTGCATGACCACCATTCGTTCCCCCTTACTTACAACAATAGAAAAGCAGTCAGAGTCAAAACACATTACAGACACTTTGGTTAACAGTAACATGTTATGAATAAACCATGAGAAAGAATCTGGTTTGTTATGGGAAGAAGCTATGTCTGGTCAACAAACACCATCCTGCCGAGAATTGTGTGGCCTTCAAGGTGAAACAGACTGAGTAAATAGGATAAATTAAAATATAATAGAAGAGGAATCAAAATTTTCCCACAACAGTGATAGACAAAAATAAAACATAATCACAATAATGTAATGTATAACAAAAATAAAAAGGGTTACCTCTTTATTGGTTCTCTTTATTTGTTGTGCATCTGAACTTGATTCAAATGCAAGCCTTTCATCCAACTCATCTATTTCCACAATTTTCTTTGGAGAATTCTTTAGTGTATTTCTATCATGCTGAGACTCCCGGTATAAGTGCATCCCTGTGCATGATGTAAGGGGGATTAACAAAACTGTTTGTTACTGTTGAAGAAATTTTAAGGTAAAGGTAGTCAACCTATCAATAAGATCCTAAATGTCACTGGCATCACATACCTGCAGCTGGTTCTCTAGCTTGTGGTTTCTGGGTATCTAAGTAGTCTCCAGGCGAGATCAGGTTGTTTCTTTTGAAAAGATCATCATCAACACACCAGCAGTAGGTGGATTTAGCTGAAAGTAAACACCAAAAGCAAGAGCCATTTTAATATAATTACGGATATACCGTTTCTTGAACACATTTTTTTTTAAAACAAGCTGTGTGTTCATGGTTCATGGTGTCCTTCTGCAAGGTGAACAATACTCCTATTCAAGGGTCTTCTATTTTACCTACAGCCGTCTTTTCTGACCAGATTCCAAACAACTTTTAAACAAAAGCATCACCATAGCATGATTCTGACACGATCATACATAACATTTATAGTTATTTACTCTATATTCAGGTTATAAATTAATCAAGCATTCATCCATCCATCCATCCATTTTCTGACACGCTTTATCCCAAGTGGGGTCACGAGGGGTACTGGTGTCTATCTCCAGTTGTCTACAATTGAGAGGCAGGGTACAGCGTGGACAGGTTGCCATTCCATCGCAGGGCAACACAGAGACAAACCACCTTTCACACACACACCTAAGGAGAATTTAGAGAAGCCAATTAACCTAACAGTCATGTTTTTGGACTGTGGGGGGAAGCCATAGTACCCGGAGAGAACCCACACATGTTCAGGGAGAACATGCAAGCCTCCAGACTGGGAATTGAACCTGCGACCTTCTTGCTGCAAGGCAAGAAGCAGCAGAGCTACCCACTGTCCCACTGTGCAGCCATAATCAAGAATTAAAATTCAGTGGAGCTAAAATGAAAAAACAAAAAAACAGAATGTCTAAAAAATTTGATTTGTATGACATAATATTTTGAAGACTATACATATAATTTACCTATAGGTTGATGATCACAAGCATCTTTAAAGTCTGCCTTCAACCTCTCACATTCCAGGCTTTCTTTGGCTGCAGCTCGGGCTCTGGCCTGAGCCATGTGAGTCTTCACCAGCTCAGCCTCTTTTAGACGCTCCTCATATTCACAACGAGTCTATAATCAATAAGAGTAAATTAAAATAGGTAGGTAGGTAGGTAGGTAGGAAGGAAGGAAGGCAGGCAGGCAGGCAGGCAGGCAGGCAGGCAGGCAGGCAGGCAGGCAGGAAGGAAGGAAGGAAGGAAGGAAGGAAGGAAGGAAGGAAGGAAGGAAGGAAGGAAGGAAGGAAGATTAGAGAAATCTTTCATTCTGTCATACTCCTTCTAATAACAGCTGTCTGCTTACCTCCCAGAGCCTTTTAACATATGTATCATGATAACTGCTTCTGTCTGCGTTTGTTTGGATGCGGTTGAAGGGCAGCGTCTTCCCCATGTCCTTACTGTAAACTTCCTTGAAAACGCTTGCTAATACATGAGAAATGTCCTAGAATCAAGAATGAGGAAAATTTTCATATAGAAACTCAAGGATTTCTCACACCTCTAAATTAAAACGCGTTTATCTTACTTGTGATGTTCCTGCCGCAGGTCTGTAACTCTCCACACAGGGCTCAACAAATTCATTTTCCGACATGTTTCCTTTGTGAAAGTCACACACACGGAACCTTTCGTGACCACATCACAAAGAAAAGAATAGCATATGTATGAGATTTAACACCAAATATTTTCACCAAATCCCGCTGAGCTTGTCGGTAAAGTTTGTGGTTGCCTGGCAACAACAGGTGGTCGCAACGGATATGAAAATACCGCGATTGTGATGGTAGATTTAAAAAAGACCTTTGACAACAGATAAATAAAGATATATGACATCACCAGGAAATATAAATATTTGTACGCATGAGGTTCCCCAGTAGGCTAACAGCATGACGTCTGTAACAAAGCAGGTAAACAGAGCTACCGGTATCATAAATCATAAACAAGACAATTCAATTCAGTTTTTTTATATAGCGCCATTTCAGAACACATCTTACCTTTAAGGCACTTTAAAGAGACAGTTCAACTAGATAAATACAGCCAGATTGGTTCAATTTTTTTTTTTTTAGAAAAGATTTATAGAAGAAAAAATAATAAAAATGAAAAAACGAAAAAAACAACAACGAAACAAATACACAAACAATAAATCTCTATGGATAGAGGACAAAGTGGGTAGCACTGCTTCCTGGAAGCAAGAAGGTTCCGAGTTCAATTCCCGGTCCGGGGTCTTTCTGCATGGAGTTTGCATGTTCTCCCTGTGCATGCGTGGGTTCTCTCTGGGTACTCTGGCTTCCTCCCACAGTCCAAAAACATGACTGTTAATTAGCATATCTAAATTGCCCTTTTGTGTGAGTGTACCTCTATGTGTGCATAGTTGTGTCTCTGTGTTGCCTAGGCTATACCCTTCCTTTCATCTAAAGACTCCTGGAAATAGGCATCCTCCTATGGCCTCCTCCAAGTCTCCTGATGTCCTGGCTGGTTTTCTCCCTACAGCAAACCTTCTTGCCACAGCCCGCATTGATGTACCATCCTGCAATACCTGAACTGTGTGGGTTGTTTAGTCCGTCTCATGCTGCCGTGAGTATAAAAGTACCACCACCATTCAGAAGTGACCAAAATAGCCTGAAAGCATATATACTGAGAAGTGGTATGTGATCCCCACCTGCAGAACCACTCCTTTATTGAGTGTGTCTTGCTGATTGCCAATAATTTCCACCTGATGAATATTCAATTTGCACAACAGTATGTGCAAATCGTTGTTGCTTGCTAAGTGGACAGTTTGATTTCACAGAACTTTTATTAAATAACAGTTATATTGTTCTGTATGCTTCCGTCTCCTTGAAACCCAGTGGGGATCGGCTGATGGCCGCTCACACTGAGCCTGTTTCTGCTGGAGGTTTCTTCAAAGTAAAAGGGAGTTTTCCCTCTCAACTGTCGCTACTGTACATGCATGCTTGGTGTAAAGGGGTTGCTTTCGAGTCAATGAGTCATTGCAATCAATTTGTTTTTCCTTAGGTAGAAAACTTTGAGCAAGTCTGACTGCATGTATGATCTGCTTAAATTGTCTCTGTTGACGCTATATAAATAAACAGAGTTGAATGGGCTCTATGCACATCTCCACTACTTCCTAAGCTTAACACAGCTCTTTTGTATCCTGTCTTTCATTACTGGATGAACTGATTAATCCATATATGTCCAGCAATGGTTACTGAGGTCAGACAAACCTGACCATCTAGTAGAAAAAGACAGGAAATAAAAGAGCTGCCTTAAGTTAAGGAAGTAGTGTAGTTGTGCATAGAGCCATTGAATTGCAATTAAATTGTTGTTTACATGTTCCCTTTATCTTTTGAGCAGTATATTTGGACTAGACACTTCAGCTGCCTTGCCTACTATTGGTGGTCAGAGAGCTGATTGCATGGCAGCTTTTCTTATATCAGTCTGCCCCAGGGCAACTGTGGCTACAGTATAATTTAGTTTACCATCATCAGCGTGTGTATAGGTGACTGACTCAATGTTGCGTAAAGCTCCATTAATTTGATAAAGTGTGGGAAGTTGATAAATGCAGAGAAGGGAAATGTTCAGAATACATTAGGATCTAGATAGACACTTCAAAAATGGACAAATAAGTTATCTTTTATAGATCCAGATTTAAATATAAAAAATAAGAGTACGGATAAATGGGTAGTGTGAAAAAGTATAAAATAGATTCATTACTGGACAAAAGTTAAGAGCAACCATAATAATCATAATGATAGAATGTAGGATAGAAAAGCACAAAATTCTTAAAATTTATATGAGCACCTGCCGTGATTATGAATAGCTTAAACAGCAATAATAATAAATAAATAAAAGTATGTATAAATAAAAGTAAAATATTAAATTATAATAGCTAACTCACACTTCATACCTGTGTCTTTATCTTTC